CTCAACCCCCACAAACACAACTAGGTGAGTACAACTAGGTGAATACACACACCAGAAGAACATGGTAATAAAGAACAACTTGGACCACAACCATAACAACACAACCATCACCTCTCACCTCCATCTAGAACAAGGTCACAGGAGCGAGCAAGGGGGGTCAACAGGTCACAGGAGCGAGCAAGGGGGGTCAACAGGTCACAGGAGCGAGCAAGGGGGGTCAACAGGTCACAGGAGCGAGCAAGGGGGGTCAACAGGTCACAGGAGCGAGCAAGGGGGGTCAACAGGTCACAGGAGCGAGCAAGGGGGGTCAACAGGTCACAGGAGCGAGCAAGGGGGGTCAACAGGTCACAGGAGCGAGCAAGGGGGGTCAACAGGTCACAGGAGCGAGCAAGGGGGGTCAACAAGGTCACAGGAGCGAGCAAGGGGGGTCAACAGGTCACAGGAGCGAGCAAGGGGGGTCAACAAGGTCACAGGAGCGAGCAAGGGGGGTCAACAAGATCTTGTTTCTAATAACAATCCCAAATCAGAAGTAACAAGTCAGGTGTTGAAACTCACAAGACATAAAGGGTTTAACACGTAAGGTCCTGGGGCCAGATTCACGAAGCAGTTACGCAAGCACTTACGAACCTGCACATCTTTTCTCAATCTTTGGCAGCTTTGTTTACAGTTAATAAACAGTTAATGAGCTGCAAAGCACCAGAAGACTGTTCATAACAATAACAACAGTTGATTGGCAAGTTTTCATGCTTGTAAACTGTATAATAAATGTAACCAAAGCCGTCAAAGATTGAGGAAAGATGTACACGTTCGTAAGTACTTGCGTAACTGCTTTGTGAATCTGGTCCCAGAGATCAAACTCGTAGGTTAAATGCTCAAGTCAGGTGTGAGCTTCTAAACCACGAGTTTATATATACTAATACTGGTATGAGGCCCAGAGGAAAGTCTTGGGAGAGTATGAGGCCCAGAGGGAAAGTCTTGGGAGAGTATGTAGCCCAGAGGGAAAGTCTTGGGAGAGTATGAGGCCCAGAGGGAAAGTCTTGGGAGAGTATGAGGCCCAGAGGGAAAGTCTTAGGAGAGTATGAGGTCCAGAGGAAGTCTTGGGAGAGTATGAAGCCCAGAGGGAAAGTCTTGGGAGAGTATGAGGCCCAGAGGAAAGTCTTAGTCTTATACAAGGCAGTTTACACTTGCGGAGATCAGAAGAACAAGCTGGTTGATCTTGTAATGGAAGAGACCTGAGGACGGACACACACCACCCAGCAACATGAGCCCTGAGCACAAAGCGACAGACCAGGAGTGAGAATCATGAAACACCGTCCAGGCGGCTACGAAAGCCGAGCCTCGTGCTCTCAGAAGACGACAAAGAGCAGAACACGAAGTAAACACACACACGAAGTACAGGAAGTCGAGCAAGGAAGCAAAGGAAAGGGTCTTCAAGTTATTGGAGCCAACATTAACGACCCAACTGGTGGATGGAAGATTGGATAGGTTAACGCGGGGAGCTGGATCTGACTTCGTCGCCAAGGAGAGGTAGGTAGGAGTCGTCAGGGCTGGAATTCCGGTGTGGGATGGAGCCCTCAGCCGAGGCGTAGTGGAGGGAACCGGTGGTGGAGAGGGAGAGAGGGAGCTCTATGAGGGAGAGAGGGAGCAGTGTAAGGTTTAAAAGTCCGGCCTGTGTGATGGGGGAGGAGGTAGGGAGAGGTAAGGGGCTGTGAGGGAGACAGGGGGGGGGGGGAGTGAAGGAGGTAGGGAGCTGTGTGATAGAGCGTTGGTAGACCCTCTATCTGTGTTGGAGAGGGAGGGAGGGAGGGGAATGCGTGTGAAGGTAGGTAGGTAAGTGCGTGAAGGTAACATGATGGATCTTGGCAGTCCTGGCTCCCCCCCCTCCTCCCCCCCTGCAAGTGGTGCAGGGCGAACAGGCCACGACCAGCCCCAGGCTCCTGCTGCTGCTGCTTCTGCTGCTGCTGCTGCTGCTTCTGCTTCTGCTGCTGTTCCTGTTGCTGCTGTTCCTGTCGCTGCTACTGCTGCCACCAGTGCTGCTACAACTTTGCAACCATCACCATCACTTCCCTAACCTGATTGTTTACGTGCTAATGCCTGAAACCAACCACAACAGCCCTGATGAACACCCGGGCAGCCCTCCTTCCCCCCCCCCATCAAGACACTAATGCTCTGCCAGCTTCCACGAAACTTTACGTTATAACCAAAGGCGTAATTCACTGCCTGGGTCGACAGTGCCACGGCAGTGCCCCGTGCCCCCTCAACCATGACGTGCTGTGTCTAGTGGCACCACCGTCCTCCCTGGAATGATAGTACTTATTCGTACTTTCGACTAAATAGTTGTCGAGCACTTTCGCGGTCAAATTAACGTCCTAACCTACCAGAGAACCCAAAACAGAAAACGGGACAGTACGTCACTTTCGCGAGCCGCTTCCATTTTCTATTACGACAATTTTTGGCCTTATGTAACGCATACGAGCAAAAAGCGACGTTGTTTGTAAGAGGACAAGTTGCTGTGTGTGTTTGAGTGCCTGTGAGTGTTCACTTTTCTGTTTACCCAGCCAGAAGGGTTTTGAGAGTGCCCCATAATGCACAAACTGGTAAAGCAAGCGGGGGTGACAGTACGCACCTAGTTGTACTCACCCGATGCTACACAGAGAGTACCCAACAGACTGAACACGGAGTTGCAGAGAGAAGATATCTATGAAGAGAAGTAACTTAAGAAGACCTGCTGGGCTCGCTTATTACAGCAATACTGTTTCTAAGACAGCATTATTATTTTCTGATGAAATACTAGTCCTTGTGAACGTTTACAGACGACACGAAGGTGATATGAAGAATTAAGACAGATGATTGCAGAATGTTACAATGTCGTTGTTGTTGTTATAGATTCAGCTACTCGGAACAAGTTCCATGTAGCACGGGCTATGGTGAGCCCATAACTTATCTAGCACAGGAGCGGGGCAAGTAGCACGGGCTATGGTGAGCCCGTAGTGGACTTACCTGGCACAGGAGCGGGGCAAGTAGCACGGGCTATGGTGAGCCCGTAGTGGACTTACCTGGCACAGGAGCGGGGCAAGTAGCACGGGCTATGGTGAGCCCGTAGTGGACTTACCTGGCACAGGATCGGGGCAAGTAGCACGGGCTATGGTGCGCCCGTAGTGGACTTACCTGGCACAGGAGCGGGGCAAGTAGCACGGGCTATGGTGAGCCCGTAGTGGACTTACCTGGCACAGGAGCGGGGCTGTGTGTTTAAGACAGATGATGACTGCAGAATGTTACAAGAAGATGAGTTATTATGCTACAGGATTGGTCCAACAAGACACCGTTGGAATTGAACCACAGGATGAGAACAAATTTTGAGAATGAGAAATGAGATTAGGCAGAAAGTTATCCTGAGTAGGACCATGCCTGGCATCCATTTTTAGAGGCTTCTCCAAAACTGGGAAAGTGTGTGATAACTTTGTTCCCAAGTATGATAACTTTGTTCCTCAGTATAACTCAATTCCCGGTGGTTGTTCCGGGGATTGCCACCCTCGCGGCCCGGTCTCTGAACAGAATTAAGTTAGCTGTATGATATGCCAGGCTGTTGATGTCCGCAACAGCAATACATGTAAATGGACAATTATACTAGCATTTAAAGAGTAGTGGAAGGGAAGGGAAGGGAATGGGGGGGAGAGAATTAAAGGATAGGAGGGAGAGAAGGGATGGGATGGGCAAGAGAGGAACACGATTGATTGAGAGACATTAAACGGAGGAAGGGTAGATAGAAGACGAAGGAAGGAAGGAAGGAAGGAAGGAAGGAAGAAAGGAAGGAAGGGAAAGTAAGACTAACAGTTATCCTGAAAAAAATCCGCCATGTAGGTACTAAGTATATATGCACAGGCCATATGAAAAATGAAAATGAAAAGACAGAGATATATATAGATTACTAAGCTTGGGTCAAAAGTCAGATGTGTATGGCCAAAAACACATGTGTGTGTGTGTGTGTGTGTGTGTGTACTCACCTATATGTACTCACCTATATGTGCTTGCAGGATCGAGCATTGACTCTTGGATCCCGCCTTTCTAGCTATCGGTTGTTTACAGCAATGACTCCTGTCCCATTTCCCTATCATACCTAGTTTTAAAAGTATGAATAGTATTTGCTTCCACAACCTGTTCCCCAAGTGCATTCCATTTTTCTACTACTCTGTGTGTGTGTGTGTGTGTGTGTGTGTGTGTGTGGATAAATAAATCCCTAAGCAAGAACAGGTTCACACTAAAAAAGAATCAAGAAAAAGCACTAAGCCAGTATGACTTGGTAACCACCTGCACCATCGAGGATCGAACGCTGACCTTGCAAGAAGCAAGGAGATCGCTCAACCAACCAGGCCAAGTGGACAAAGATAAAGAACTGTACAAATCCACAAGGGCCGTCACGGGGATTCGAACCTACGTCCGAGAACATCCAAGACGCTGCCTTAATCGACTGAGCTACGACATGGTCAAATCCTTGTGGATTTGCAGGCGATGAGTCACAATAACGTGGCTATAGTAGGTTGACCAGACCATACACCAGAAGGTGAAGGGACGACGACGTTTCGGTCCGTCCTGGACCATTCTCAAGTCGATTGTGGTCCAGGGGCCAGATTCACGAAAGCACTTGCGAACGTGTACATCTTTTCTCAATCTTTGACAGCTTTGGTTACATTTATTAAATAGTTCACAAGCATGAAAACTTCCCAATCAACTGTTGTTATTGTTATAAACAGCCTACTGGTGCTTCGGAGCTCATTAACTGTTTAATAATTGTAAACAAGGCCGTCAAAGATTGAGAAAAGATGTACAGGTTCGTAAGTGTTTGCGTAAGTGCTTTCGTGAATCTGGTTCCAAGACGGACCGAAACGTCGTCGTCCCTTCACCTTCAAGTGCGTGGTCTGGTCAAGCCCTCGTGGATTTGTTCATTTGATGCATCACACTATTGTGATTTCTGTGTGTAATAAAGAACAGTGAACACTCACCAATCTCACAGTTGGGTCCCATCCAGCCGGGGCGACAGACCTTGTCGCCAGAGACGTCGCAGGTGAGGTGGCCGAACTTGTCGTCCCGCGGCCTGCAGAACTTGGTGCAGGTGGTGTTGTAATAGTTCTGGTCGCAGAGGACCCTGACACGGTAGGTGACGCGGGCCACGGAGCCCTGGTCCGTCAGGGTGTGCCAGTCCGTGCCAGGGACCAGGATGCCACTGTAGGTCAGGGCATCTATCGTCTCCCTCCTCTCTGTTCCAAAGCAGGAGAGAAAGTGTATGGCGGTTAATGGTGTTGGAATATACAATAATAATTACACAAACACTGCAGACAGACAGACAGAGGGACAGACAGAGGGACAGAGGGACAGACAGACAGACAGACAGACAGAGGGACAGACAGAGGGTCAGACAGACAGACAGACAGAGGGACAGACAGAGGGACAGACAGAGGGACAGACAGAGGGACAGACAGAGGGACAGAGGGACAGACAGACAGACAGACAGAGGGACAGACAGAGGGACAGAGGGACAGACAGACAGACAGACAGAGGGACAGACAGAGGGACAGAGGGACAGACAGACAGAGGGACAGACAGAGGGACAGACAGAGGGACAGACAGACAGACAGACAGAGGGACAGACAGAGGGACAGAGGGACAGACAGACAGACAGAGGGACAGACAGAGGGACAGACAGACAGACAGACAGACAGACAGACAGACAGACAGACAGACAGACAGACAGACAGACAGACAGACAGACAGGCAGACAGAGGGACAGACAGAGGGACAGAGGGAGACAAGCCCTCCCCCAATACACCCCCGCCCACCCACACATCACAAGGAAGCAGCCAGCACCAGAGACACGACGCAGACTTACATAATCCCGGGGTAAACGACCACATAATCCCGGGGTAAACGACCACATACAACAGATAGTTGCAAACAGCACTATCATTTCCAGTAATCAAGATTAATAGCGTAGGGCGGCGGGGAGGAAAGCAGGTGGACGGGAATTAATTACTTCAGGTGTGGCACCCCCCCCCCTTCCCCCCTTCCCGTAGCCAGACCCGGGACACAGCCTTAAGTCTTAAGCCCGTAATCACACAGCAGCCAATGGCATATACAAATTTGATTGTGATATTTTTTCCATCTATTATATTTTTTATGGCGTGTAATAAGGATGAAGTTGAATTAGACCCCCCAGGTGTCCCATCTCTGTTGTCTAAGATTATATTGTTCCAAACACTCAGGTTTAATTAGGAGAGAAATTACTAATCCCGAAGGCCTGAAACACCAGTATAAAAAGCTATGATTTGATTACATCCGAAACTTATGTATATTGGCAGCACAAAACGTGGACCAGACTGTGCGACACAGTGGTTGCCAGGATCAGGTTGGGTTACCGTTACCTGTGGCAGGTGGCTACAGGTGACGGATCTCCCAATCCTGAGCACTTCAGGAGCACACCCTGTGAGCAACAACTGGGGTATGATCTCTCAAACTAGACATTGAATGTCCAGTTTTCAGATCCGTCGCCATGAGAGGTACCTGGGGCTTGGAATCACTTTATTAACTCTCGTGTTCATGATGATATCTTCATAATGCATCCAAAGTTTGCCATGCAGACTACTGATCACATGACCCTGTATGACTAACCATCCTGTGTGATGGGGATCTTCAGCATCACGTAGACTACACACACTGTATGCAGGCGATCAGTCACAATAACGTGGCTGAAGTAAGTTGACCAGACCACACACTAGAAGGTGAAGGGACGACGACGTTTCGGTCCGTCCTGGACCATTCTCAAGTCGATTGCGATCGACGATCACAATCGACTTGAGAATGGTCCAGGACGGACGGAAACGTCGTCGTCCCTTCACCTTCTAGTGTGTGGTCTGGTCAACTACACACACTGTACTCCTCTTCACATAGTGTAGGGCAGCTGCACAACTGCACAGGTACGTAAATGTGTTAATAAAAATAACAGGCTACGTGTGCTAGCTGTAGCATTTTTGGCAGGATGTGTGTCTTAAAGTTTGACCTAATAATACAAATATAACTGAAATAATTACTACTTATCCAGGTGGTAATGGAAAAATTTCGCACCCCCTCCACAACACACTCTCTCTCTCTCTCTCTCTCTCTCTCTCTCTCTCTCTCTCTCTCTCTCTCTCTCTCTCTCTCTCTCTCTCTCTCTCTCTCTCTCTCTCTCCACACAGGGAAGAATGAGGGTATAAGAGCAGGCGAATCCTGTTAGCAGGTTCAGAGCTTTCCTTTCCCATAGAACATAGTAAGCCTTAACTTACTAGTTTTCCCTGGAACACGACTAGCTAGTTGGTTAACAACCAGCTCCCCAATTGCTGCTGGGTGAACAGGGACGGACAGTTTTGGGACTGGCGACCAGTCAATCCTTCCAGGGTTGACGCTGGGTATGTGATCATGAGAGAGAGAGAGAGAGAGAGAGAGAGAGAGAGAGAGAGAGAGAGAGAGAGAGAGAGAGAGAGAGAGAGAGAGAGAGAGAGAGAGAGAGAGAGAGAGAGAGAGAGAGAGAGAGAGAGCGCCTGAGTTCTCTCTCTCCACCAGTCAAGACTGGGGAGGCGGTCAGGTCAGCCTCAACGGTCCTTTCAACAAACCTTCCAGGAGGTAAAACTAGAAAAAAGTGCAGCGGGACTTGTTTTGGCGTTGGTCAAGGTCTCGTAAATCCAATTACCAGACGTGTAGAAGAGCAAGGGGGCTACCCTCGCCCACAGCTCCTCCCATCTTCTCCACAGGGAGGAGAAAAACTAGCAGAATCCCCACTAAGAGGTCCTGAATGATCTTCTGATCTTCCAGCTGTGGGGGGGGGGAGATCATGGTGACTTCCAGAGTCTGGAAATAACAAAGAAGTCCTTTTAGTTCCAGTGGTGTGTGGTACAGACGTTGCTGGCAAGGTTTTCCAGTGGAGATGATAATGCAATTGGTATTTTCAGTGTAAAGACGAAGGCTTTATGCTTCTCGAAACTGAAGGGACTATTATGTTTCTGGAAATTATCGCTTTCTGGTTTCTGGAAATTATTAAGACATTTCCCTGGTCTTCTCGTAAGGATATTTCTGCTTTTATAAAAAGATGAAGATAGTGTTCTGTCTTACAGAAACACAGAAGACATTCTGCAGACTTCTCACAATGGAGAAAATTGCTACAATGCCGTAGTCCTTAAATAAAGGTGAAGGAACGGCCCAAAATATGTGTAAGTGTGTATATATGTACACATATATGATGCGCATATTTTTATGTAACCTATATCCTTTCTCAAGGTGCTGAAAACAATGTTCAGATCATTGTTTACTAAACAATGATTACAGCACCTTGAGAAAGGGTGAAGGTTGCGTCTGAAAATTTGGGTTCATACACTTATACACACACACACACACACACACACACACACACACACACACACACTCTTTGGGACCAAAGAGCCAGAGCTCAACCCCCGCAAGCACAATTAGGTAAGTACACACACACACACACACACACATTGGGTATTTCCTTCACCTTCACTTCTAATAATTGATAAGGCATTCTTCAGACTTCAAATAATAACTTCCAGGATTCCACTGATACCAAGGACATCCTCAAGGCTCTCAGTGAGGACATGTTGGGGTTTAGCCAGTAATGCCTTCCAGTAAGATCATTTATGGCGTCCAGAAGGGTATAGACGGTCATCCGTGCCTTAAGCTATCTTTGTTGCTTCCACTGGCAGTATTGGAGCTCTCTCCGTTGCTTCTGGTGGTCTTGTTGAAGCTCTCTTTATTGGCTCCGGTGGTGGTGGTGGAGGTATCTCTCTTGCCTCCGGTGGTGGTGGAGGTATCTCTCTTGGCTCCTGTGGTGGTGGTATCTCTCTTGGCTCCGGTGGTGGTGTTGGAGGTATCTTTCTTGGCTCCAGTGGTGGTGTTGGAGATATCTTTCTTGGCTCCGGTGGTGGTGTTGTTGGAGGTATCTTTCTTGGCTCCGGTGGTGGTGTTGTTGGAGGTATCTTTCTTGGCTCCGGTGGTGGTGTTGTTGGAGGTATCTTTCTTGGCTCCGGTGGTGGTGTTGTTGGAGGTATCTTTCTTGGCTCCGGTGGTGGTGTTGTTGGAGGTATCTTTCTTGGCTCTGGTGGTGTTGGAGCTCTCTCGCTCTCTCTTGGCTCCAGTGGCGGCGAAGATAATATACCAGAGCCTCAGAAGTTATAATTGCAGCTTCCAGTGATGAGAGAAACAAATCACGTGGCTCCCAGGGCTGGTGCAGCTGCTAATCTTCCGGCTTCCAGTGCTGAAAAATATCTTCTTCTGGCTTCCAGTGGAGAAACAGAGATAGATTAGCCAAAAAAAGCTATTAGATCCTCTCTTGAATACGTTGAGAGGCTGTGGGCCGACGAAGAGTATTGAGGCGAGATATTAAAAGAGGTCTTTAACGAGAGCAATAAGGAGATAACGGCGGTAATAACGTATCCTCCAACGAGCAATTTGGAGAGTAAATTGAGCACTCGTGGGGTCGTTAAGATCCTCAGCTTAAGGGAGTCCCTCAAGTGGTTAGCTTTCTCCCTCTTAGTACACATTTGTAACATGGTGCAGGTCGACACCAAATGACCATATCCATTTTCCTGCAGCCTTCAGGTTATGTCTAAGAAACCACCTGCAGTTTAGAGCTTTTAATTGAAGACAGGTGTAATTTAGAGCCGTCTTTCTCACGATGAAGGGGATGCTTTCATGTCCGTCTCCCACTGAAATGGCTTTTCTCAAGACCGTTGCCAAGTGCGCTGACTGGTGAACACACGAGATGCTGCTGGAGGCGGTGTGTTCCATCTCTGTGTCGCAACCTCATCAACATCCTCAATCATGCAGAATAATTTTTAATTTAAGCAATGAAACGCATCAGCGGGAGCGTGACGGAGCTGAGGCTAGCCTTGAGGAAGCTGCAAGAGCCGCCTCTGTCTTCTCTTTAGATGTAGCCATCTTGGACCCCAGTGGGGGCTCTCGTTGTCTTCAGCCATCTTGGACCCCAGTGGGGGCTCTCGTTGTCTTCAGCCATCTTGGACCCCAGTGGGGGCTCTCGTTGTCTTCAGCTACCTTGGACCCCAGTGGGGGCTCTCGTTGTCTTCAGCCACCTTGGACCCCAGTGGGAGCTCTCGTTGTCTTCAGCCACCTTGGGCTGCCATCGGGGCTCTCGTTCTCTTCAACCACTTTGGGTTCCTAGTCGGAGCTACAGTCATTTACCTATAACTCGGGGAGGGAATCCATCTAGGCACAGTAGTCTCGGTACATTGGTGAAGCAATTTTGAAACGCCATCTTGGAATCCCAGGAGGCAACGGGCGCTGCTGGGGGTGGACGTGCCCAGCAGGAGTCGACAGACTCTGGGAAATGCAGACGTATTCTAAAGCCTGAGAAGTAATCCGGCCATATATATATATATATATATATATATATATATATATATATATATATATATATATATATATATATATATATATATATATATATATCCTTTGTTGGCCGACATGTATATTTCAATATCATTTCGACGCAGCCTCTTACCTTTCTCAGCCAACAAAGCCCAATAGTGAGAGGAGTTGTAAAACAGAATATTGTGTCTATTACTATATCTTAACTGAAGGTTAACTGCATTGAAAAATTTCGTCCAACAATGTAAATGTTTATCATCTTGTGTGTGTTGTTATGTTTGAGATAATCGGACTTGGGCGGCCAACACTGCAAGATGCGGTGGTCACATCAGTGGTCTGAGAGTAGCAAGGGTCTCACACTAGGAAATCCGGATCTTGAGCAACTGGAGACTCTCTCTCTCTCTCTCTCTCTCTCTCTCTCTCTCTCTCTCTCTCTCTCTCTCTCTCTCTCTCTCTCTCTCTCTCTCTCTCTCTCTCTCTCTCTCTCATCCCAGGACATAAAAGTATGCACCATGACTTACCTTTACTGGGGGACGTGTCGTCAGTCAGGTCCAGCACCTCCAGGATTAGTGTGAAGGATCT